GGTTGAGGACCCCTATTATAGTACTGATCTGGCTCAACCGACATGGTTAGGCTAAGGAAAGCCGAATAATAATAGTTGCCTAATAAAGGTAAGAATAAAGAGGGTAGGAAAAGAAAGCTGGACTTTTGGAAATGCACCTGCCAGATTCCTGGAACAAATGGATTCTGCAGTGCCATTAAGCTGAAAAAGAAAACAGCCCATCCACTGCAGGGAGTGGTTGGTTTTTATTGGGAAAATGTGCACATTCTTGATTATTTCTAGAGTTCCTTGTACTCTCCACTCCCAAATACCTGAAATTTTGTAACAAGGTAAGAACCAGGAAGAGCTGGCTTTGGCTACTTCCATAAACTCTGCAAGCTAGCCAAATTGTCGTTTCATTTTACCTAACAAACCCCATTTTAAAAGCAAACTTTCTTCGCGTAAGTTTGGCTAGTTGCGGAGATGGCCAAGGAGACAGGACTTAGGGCAGTGATGGGGCACCTCTAGGACATGTATGTCAAAGGTGACACACCATGTTTTGGGTGACACGCCAACTCCAACAACAACTATTCTTGATTCAAAGGTGCTTTTTTCAAAAGGCAGCTGAACCAGTTTTTTCCTTGAGAAAGAAGATGCGTTGCTTTTTATCCAAGAAAATGAATCGGCAAAGCCCCGATGGAGCTTCTTGGATAAGAAGTGAAATGTCTTCTTTCTCTTCAAGAGAAAAACAATCCAGTTGCCTTTTGAAAAATCACTTTTGAGACAAATAGGACCTGGATGATGGAGAATCTCCACAAACAGCTATTCTTGAAAGCATACTCTGTTCTCCTGTGATTTTCAGAGGCTGCCAAGACTGTGTGAGAATGGGGTGTGTTCTCGCATGGCCTCCAAAGCCTCTGAAATTGAGTTTGTTCTACTCCTATTTCATTTTTGGTAAAATTTGACATTTCCTCATATAATAAGGAGCATCACTCATAATTGGATTATTTGTTGTTGTTAGTTGCGAAGTCGTGTCCGACCCATCGCGAACCCATGGACAACATTCCTCCAGGCCTTCCTATCCTCTACCATCTTCTGGAGTCCATTTAAGCTCAGGCCTACTGCTTCAGTGACTCCATCCAGCCACCTCATTCTCTGTCGTCCCCTTCTTCTATTGCCCTCCATCTTTCCCAGCATCAGGCTCTTCTCCAGTGAGTCCTTCCTTCTCATTAGGTGGCCAGAGAACTTGAGTTTTAACTTCAGGATCTGGCCTTCTAAAGAGCAGTCGGGGTTGATCTCTTCTAGGACTGACTGGTTTGAACGCCTTGCAGTCCAAGGGACTCACAGGAGTCTTCTCCAGGACCATAGTTCAAAGGATTATATATATATTTAAAATAAATGGATATATACATCTTATACAGGTAGTCTTCCACTTATGACCACAATTGAATCCAAAATTTCTATTGCTAAGCGAAAGAGTTGAGTGAGTTTGGCCCCATTTTATGACCTTTCTTGCCACAGTTATTAAGTGAATCACTGCAGTTGTTAATAACATAGTTGTTAAGTGGGGCTTCCCCACTGACTTTGCTTGTCCAGACATTCACAAAAGGGGGGTCACGTGACCCCGGGATGCTGCAACCGTCATAAATAATGACTCAGTTGCCAGATGTCTGAATTTTGATCACATGACCCTGGGGATGCTAGAATGGTCGTAAGTGTGAAAAACGGCCATAAGTCATGTTTTTCAATGTTGTTGTAACTTTGAACTGTCACTAAACAAACTGCTGTAAGCTGAGGACTACCTATATATCTCTTTTGTTTCGGGGGGGGCAGAGAGGGGAAAATGCAACAAGTTATGCATTTTCCAAATTTTGGGCAAGCCAAGCCCCGAAGCTACTCCATCATGCCTGGGGCAGTGGTTCTCAACCTGTGGGTCGGGACCCCATTTGGGGTCGAACGACCATTTCACGGGGGTCGCCAAACAACGCAGTCCGCCATTTTTTTTCCTTTAGCTGTGCTACTCCCTTTTATTCTATTGGCTTTTGAAAGCCAATAGAATAGACTCTCTTGAATAGAGTCTAATTCTATTGGCTTTCAAAGCCAATAGGAATTGTCCAGGCTGTCTCTGCCCTGCTGAGCCCGCCAAAAGTCCCATTCTGCAAACGATGCTGCACCAGTTGAATAGTCCTCGACTTACGACCGGTTGAGTAATCCTCGACTTACGACCGGTCGGGGGTCGCGGCATTAAAAAGATTGAGAACCACTGGCCTGGGGGTTTCGGCAGCAAGAAAATACTCAGCCTATTTTCATACTTATCACAGCTTTGCCAAAGGAAAGCTCAGAGCTTAGAAGCTGACTTCCACTGACGTGATCACAGCCAATGACGTGTCTCTCGCGGTGGTTTTCGACAAAGCTGCATTTGAGCTGCACATAATCTGTCTTTAAATGTGAACTAAACCTCAGATACCTGTATAATACTCAACAAATGTTAGGGTGGAGAAAAGCTGAGGTGTTAACAACTTAAATCAACGGTGGAAATACAGTACATCATTTCTTTTTGCATATTTCGCCGGCTTTGCCTCGGAAACAGACGTGAGCCGTTAGGGAAACTGGAAGCTTGCGTTTCTAAGCTGTGGAAACAAAACACGTGAATATATATTCACTTTTTGGTCAAGGAATGGGTAGAGGATTGGGGATACTTTAGAGAAAACGCATACTTGCATTCCCCCCACAATTCCTTCTTCACCTTTTTCTCCATCAGTGATTTGTAATACTACGAAAAAACAAGGCAGCGTTTCCTACTGCAGCATCATGAAAACAGGGACCTCCAGGTAGCAAACATGACGGAGTCAATGTCAGAAAAGAAATGCAGGTAGAGTCCTCGACCTATCAGAACTTCCATTGCTAATTGCACTTGATTTTACAAGCTTTTTGCCATGGTTGTTAAGTAAATCTGGAGGTTGTTAAGTGAATCCAGCTTCCCCCATTGACTTTGCTTGTCGGAAGCTGGCTGGGAAAGTCACAAAGGTGATTATCACATGAGCCCAGGACACCGCAACGATAATAAACATATGCTGGTTGCCAAGCTCCCGAATTTTGATCACATGATTTGTGATCCGGGGTAGAGGGGGGGAGAAATGCTACAACATTCATAAGTGTGAGGACTGTTAGTCACTTTTTTTTCAGTGCTGTAGTAACTTTTAATGGTCACTGAATGAACGGTTGTAAATCGAGGGCTACCTATAGAAAGCTACGAAAATCACAGCAAAGATGCCAGAGACAAGGTCAAGAAGATGCAGCTGTAATTATATCACCTTTAAGAGGGAGAAGAGGTAATAAGATTGTAAATATCTGTTGAAAAGAAGGTTGGAAAGTCATCCTTATATTTCTTCGCTTTAGCTTTTTTTTTCTTTCGTTTTCCCTTTTTTTGCACTTTTTTTACTTCTCTTTCTTTCTTTCCTTATTTAAAATTTACCTTTTATTGTATGAAAAAATTCTTAATAATATATTTAAAAAAACAAACAAACATGCAAATATAATTAAATCAGTTATTCTTGGTGCATTTTCATCCTCTTCCTCCGAGCACAGTGATGGCGAACCTTTTAGAGACCGAATGCCCAAACTGCAACCCAAAACCCACTTATACATCGTCGGGTGCCGGGTGGGTGTGGCCCATTGAGTGGGCGAGGCCGATTGGGTGGGTGTAGCCCATTGGGTGGGTGTGGCCCATTGGGTGGGCATGGCTGTGGTGGTAATGGCAGACGGGGTGGGACTAAAAAGTTCAATCAATCAATCCCAACTTTGCAAGATCTTTTTTTTTTCCCTGCGAGAAGTTGAAATTGACTGATTGAACCTTTTTTTTTTTTTTTTTTTTTGCACACGGCGGTGGAGGCCTAAAGCGAAAAGGTTTTATAAAACCCAGCTGAAGGCCTAGGACTGGGGCGACGGTGCGCGTGTCCACAGAGAAGGCTCTGAGTGCCGCCTCTGGCACCCATGCCATAGGTTCGCCACCACTGTCCTAGCATATTCAGAAATGGTGCTCTTCTATTCCTTGTGCTATGTTAGGAGGATGTATACCATGGTGTTGAAAAAAAATAACACTTTCTGATGAAAGAATTGGATTAGGTAGGGAATTTAATTAATTCAATTTACACCTGTCTGGGATTCAGAGAAGTTTTGGCTTGTTAGACAGAGCTACCCGGTGAAGCAGTAATTCTCAAACCTGGCCACTTTCAGATGGTGGATTTCAACACCCAGAATTCCCCAGCTAGCAAGTTGAAATCCATACGTTTCAAAGTGGCCAAGTTTGCAAAATATCCACTCATGCAGCCCAGAAAGATCTCAAGACAAACTTTTCTACTTCTTCCCAAACTTCCTTGTTTCCAAAACCTTCATACTTCATACATGTGATAGGAATTTTTCTACCTAATTTTTCTTTCCATGTGGAGACACGAATTCCTTTCTAAACAGAGAGAGGAATTTAGCACCAGGGCTTCGTGCCTGGGTCCACCCAACACTTTCAGCTAGCTCAGTTACACATCCAATGGATGTATTCACACAACATGCCAACTTTGGTTACTTTTAACCTTGTTTAGTTGTTGGGTTTTTTTTTTTTTAAAAAAAAAAATGATCTGGCATATTGTGTGAACCCAGTCCATTAGGTTCATTTGCTGTGTAAACCCAGGAAATGGATAAACTCTATAACCAAGCTACCTATGTTGTGTGAACAAAGCCAGAGGAAAGCAGTACTAAAAGATTTAGGGAAGAAATTCCATCTTTGCTTGACAGGCCTTGTCCCATGCATCTTACTCTAGTTTTTACCAGAATCATTTGTCTTCTGTTACCTGTAATTTCAACCTCTTAAAGACAGAAAATACTTTGGCCACCTAATGAGAAGGAAGGACTCACTGGAAAAGGGCCTAATGCTGGGAAAGATTGAGGGCAATAGAAGAAGGGGACGACAGAGAATGATGGCTGGATGGAGTCACTGAAGCAGTAGGTGAGAACTTAAATGGACTCCAGAAGATGGTAGAGGACAGGAAGACCTGGAGGAACGTTGTCCATGGGGTCGCGATGGGTCGGACATGACTTCGCAATTAACAACAACAAAGATAGAAAACTGTCAAACTATATCCAGACGCAAAAGCAGGATAAGCGCATTTGCTACACACAAATATTTTCCACTTCCAACTGTTTTCTCTTGGGGAAGGCAACATGCTGCATTCACACAACATGTTTAACCAAATATGATATGGACGTAATGCCTGCATTCACACAGCATGCTACACTTGACAAGTTTCAATCCTGGCTACTGTAATTCTTTTAAGTCTGAAACCAGGCCATTTGGATGTGTTTAGGGCTTAATATATTGTGCAATATCAGAAAATGTGTGAATTCAGTAACATGGTTAAACAGAGGGTGTGAATACACCCTATTATCAACCCTAATGGTGCAACTTTATAAACCTACCATGATATGTATAAGTAACAAACCATGATAAGAAAGAATTTTGAGCTTGTTACATTAGCAGATTTGTTGACATACTCTTTATCTTTATCTTTGCAACTGGAAGGACGATGAGCGCTTACATTTTTGCATGCTATCTCTAGATACCAATTTCTACACTCTACCGCACACACTGAGTTGTTTCCAAATGCAGAAGTACTGAATAAGCACACCTGTGATCCCATACTCCAAAGTGCAATCCTTAAGAAGAAGAAGGTCAGAGTATTTCTCGAAACGAAAATAAAATTTAAAAAAATCAGAACAGAGATAGAAAAAAAGAAAAAAAATTCAGGCCAGGGTCCTTTCGTTAAGAAACCTATCACCGAGAGAGAAGCTGTTAAGTCAGCCAGTTGTGTGAAGGGGTGACATGACTTGTCGGGAGGAGGGAAAAGGTTTTGTGAAAAGTGCAAAAGAAAAGAAAGGACAACAGAAGTGAATCAAAGAGCTGGCAGATGTCCCAAGCCACGGTTTTCCAGCGAATAATATACCCCACCCCAAAGGTAAAAAGCAAGGAAATTTCCAGGATGATCAAAGAGCCAGACCGCACGTTCCTATTTTTCTAGTCTTTGTCTCTAGACAACAGAACAGTTACCTCTTACCCCGATAGCTTAAATGCCATGCCTGAAAAATTCAGATGTCTTTCATCCTTCTTCCAAAGATGCTGGGATGGCAGCAAAGAGGATCTTGTGGGTCGCTGAGACGGGGCCCCAAGGGCAGTACGTTGGACCACTTTCACGCGGTGAGTTGAACTGATGCCAATATTTCTCGTGAGGACACCGACAAGGACAGCTTCGAAGCCCAGGCTACGAGACCTACCAAGACGATGGAGTCTCTGCTTGATCCTTGGCTGCTCAACTGGCCCACACCCCCTGAAATAACCTGGTTAACTGAATGTCAAGATTCTCAACCTAGCAAGTAACAAAAAGGAAGCTCTCAAATGTAGCCTCCTGGCGAGACATTTCCACCAGAAAAAAAGGAGCAAAAAAAAAAAAAAAGAAAAGAAAAACCCCAAAGGAAATTAATAATCATCATAATAGCGATAACAATTTTTTTTTTTAAAAAAAAACCTTCTTTGTGGAATCAACATTCCAGGTTCCGTGCATTCAGAAGGCCAACTGGTCCAAGGAAGAGGAGGAGATCTCTCTATTAAACCTCAGAGGTTGAGGGGAAGGGGGACTGATGCGTTGCCATCCACTGTTAGAGCCCTGTGTCTTTGCAGTTGTGTTAAACCACAAGTAGTTCAACCGGAAGTGTCTGAGATGAAGTGTGAAGAGAAATGGCGGTAGAAACAAATGCATATTTTTTTGTTGTCCTTTTGTTTGTTTTCTTCTATCCCTCACAGTGATGGGTTCTGGATAAAATTTCATTTCTCTCTCTCTCTCTCTCTCTCTCCCTCTTTCTTTCTTCATTTTTTTTTTCTTCCAGAAAGTAGAGGTGTCTTCGTCTCTCTTTCTCCCCCTCTCTTGGATTCTTTCCCTTTTCACCTGTTTCCGTTGCCTTGTTCTGCATCGTTTCCCAGGTGCCCTAAATCTTAAATAACAGAGTCACAAAAACAGACGACAGCAGGCCCAAGAGGACAGGAGGTTTTGTGCTGGCCACCGCTACATTGTCCAGAGAACCCGGTCCTGGTAGGAGAAAAAAAAAAAGAAAAAAAGAGGTTGCCATTGTTGGTGTTCTGGTTTCAATGAGTAGCTAGGGATTAGCAATAGCACTTAGATGTATACACCACTCCATAGGGCAGTGTTTCTCAACCTTGACCATTTTAAGGCATGTGGACTTCAACTCCCAGAATTCCACAGCCAGCAATGCTGGCTGTGGAATTCTGGGAGTTGAAGTCCACATGCCTTAAAATTATCAAGGTTGAGAAACACTGCCATAGGCTTTACAGCAACAGCCCCCAGCCTTTTGGGCACCAGGGACCGGTTCCTTGGAGAGAGGTTTTTCTGTGAACTGGACAGGGCGTCGTTTCATGTGCTGCCTGCATCCCGCGGATGGGGCTTTGCTTGTTTGCGCGGCCCGGTTTCTTGCATGTCACGGCCCGGTGCTGGTCCACGGACCAGGGGTTGGCAACCCCTAATTTATAGCACTTTCTGAGTGGTTTACAACATCGGCCTATTTCCCCCAACAATCTGGGTCCTCATTGTACCAACCTGGGAAGGATGGAAGGCTGAGTCAACTTTGAGCCGGTCAGGATCGAACTCCTGGCTGTGGGCAGAGTCAGCCTCCAATGCTGCATACTAACCACCGTGTCACCACAGCTCAGGGAGCCCTAAAAATCTACTTGTGGCTAAAAGATGAGGGCAAAAAGAAGAGTGAAGTCCATTTATGCGTTGCAGGATCAGAACGCCCAAGAGACATCATCAAGGGTTCCAACAGGTGAGGAAATGGACCAATGAAAGGGGAGGCTGAATGTCCTCTGAGCTAGAACTCAAAGAACAACCAGTCACAGAGAGCAGCAAAGACAGAACAATCTGATGCAACTTAGAATCTGATGCAGCTCCTTGCAGCATCCTTAGAACAGTCTTAAAATTAAGGGCTTCGTACACCTTGCCCTGATACTGTCTATTCTTTCAACAGGTTTTTACTACAAGGCCAAGCTTAGATTCCTTGGATACACTGGTGTGTTTTTTTTCCTGTGTGAAAACAGGCCAAATTTCCCCCACCTTCTGGCTTTCTCCCATACCCTCTGCTTGAAAAGTCAACAATTTATCCAAAGTTCTAAAGGTGCTTTTTCAAAAGGCCATTGGACTTCGCTTTTTCTTTGAAGACATTTCCCTTTTCATCCAAGAAGCTTCTTCAGTTCTTCTTCAGAACTTCAGAAGCTTCTTGGATGAGAAGCGAACTGAAGAAGCATGTTGGATGAGAAATGTCTTCAAGGAAAAACAAAGTCCAGTTGCCTTTTGAAAAAGCCCCTTTGGGGCAACCACGACCTGGAGGACTGAGAACCTCCACAGACAAATCTATCCAGAGGACAACCTCCAGCTGAGGTTGTCTCCAGGTACTACAAGGAGCTCTGGCTTCTAAAAGGTACTGTAGATGGCGCAAGATCTACGATCAGCCCCAGGAGTTTGCAAAGCATGAGAAGAGAGAGAGAAGGAAAGACTCACTGATAAGCCGCAAGCTGACATTGTAGGAGCCCAGACTGTTAGAAGCCAGGCAGGTATAATTTCCATAATGTCGAGCAGTAACATTTGTGAAGAGCAATATGGAGCGTGTGCGTTCATTCTGGATCTGCAGTCCATCCAAGCCACTAGTTAATCTGCTAGGAAGAGGGAGACAACGAGAAAGTAAGTAGTTAAAGTATTGTGTACAGAGGGAGAAAAAGGATCTTTGTGTTGGAAGAGTGGTGGGGGAGGAGAGAGGTTTGTCCTTGACTTAAAACCACATTTGGGACCAGAATTTCCACTGCTAAGCAAGGCAGTTGTTAAGTGGGTCATGTCCAATTTTACAACCTTTTTTTGCCACGGTTCTTAAGCAAATCACTGCGATTGTTAAGTGAATTGTGGAGTTGTTAATCAAGCATGGCTTCCCCCCATTGACTTTGCTTGTCAGGAGCCTGCTGGAAGGTCATAAATGGCAATCCCAGGACCCCAGGAGGCTGCCACTGTTTTAAATACATACCAGTTGGCAAGTACCCAAATGTTTATCACATGACCTTGGTTGTAAATGTGAGGACGGGTCATAAGTCACTTTTTTTCGGGAGTGTCGTAACATCAAGCTGTCATTAAATGAAAGGTTCTAAGTCAAGGTGTCATGGTTCCGACAGATGAAACTCTTCAAAAGAACTTTGATGCATTGTTTACCTTAAAGAATCTTTATTTTGAGTTGCATAACATTGGCACTGCATAATCAAAGCCAAAACCCGAATTCCCCTCCCCTGAGCACATAGTATCAAAGCACAATTCCCTCCTCCAATTAACAGTCACAAATCACATTCCCGAATTAGCTTGAAGCGTGGGCTTCCTCTCCAGTTCTCCAGCCCTCAATTCCTTATCAGCTCTGGTTACAATAATCTTGTTTCTCATGCTAGGTTCAGGGTTGTTATGTCTAGCTGGACTCTCGTTCACATCTCCCCTCCCAGAATTAATCTAACTCTAAAAGCAAAAGGAAAAAGATGGCTACATTTCCATCTGCTGTCCATGCAAAAACATCTGATGTTACTAGTGTTGACACACGGACTATCTTTATTTAATTCCTAATGCTTTCCCTTGGAATTGCTTGGAATTAAGGAAGGGTAGAGAGATGGGTTGATTACAGAATAATCAAAAGCAAGATATTCACCCATACACACACACACACACACACACACACACACACACACACACAAAACCCTCACAAACACCTCAGTCTCTTCATCACTAAATAATATCAGATATTTCACTTCACAAACAGGTTGCTGGAAATGCTCTACTCCTTTAAAGCAATTTCTAGGATCATTTCTCTTTTCTCCAATTGCATATGAATTAGAAAGATGGAGAGATGCAGAGATTTTCTGTCCAGCAATATAAAATTCAATATCTCACGGTTGTTCATTTTCGTTTTACTGGATAATTTTCAACCAGTGGGAAAACCTATAAACTGGTGATTAATGTTTCTTGGAAGATTTGCTCAACCTCAAAGATTTGCATCCATATCCCAAGTAGGCAAAGGGTTCTTCAACAGCGAAAGACTTTTTGTGCACGTTCAGATGTTCGTTCAGTTGGGGTTATATATTTCAGATTTTGGAAAACACAACCACCAGCAGTTTTACGTCCGTGGTTAATTTCCGGTGACACAAAGGAACACCAGATTAGAGTAAATCAAAGCTACTTGTGAAGGGAGGAAATTCCCCTGATATAACTGATAGAAATGGGCTTCCCAAAACCTTGTTCCACCTCACAAGAAATATGAGGAAATAAAATAGCGGGATTCACCATTAAACATTTTTCTGTGTAACTCTGCTACAGGTTCCATCATTTAAACCCGTGTTTTTGAAACCTTGGCTACTTTAAGAAGTATAGACTTCTACCCCCAGAATTCCATGCTGGCTGAGGAATTCTGGGAGTTGAAGTCCACACCTCTTAAAATGGCCAAGATTGAACAAGTACTGGTTTCAATCGCGTCACCAGATGGGAAGTTTATTTAGATTTGGGGAAACACACAGAAAAGGCATAATCTCCATTTCTGTCAGCATTACTACTCTGAATCCAATCCAACCGTCCCTTTCCTCCTTGTGGCTTTTAGATCCATCATGGATCCCTTACATCAGGGGTGTCAAACTGCCGGCCCGCAGGCCGGATGCGTCACGTGGAAGCCGCGCCCACTCCATTGCCGGCAATGGCAAAACCGGCCCGATACGTTGTGCGACGTCATGTGACGTCGCAAATTTGACATGCCTGCCTTACATAATACAAAGTTTGATTCCATAGCCCACCAAATTAAGAGTCTTTGCTTGTGCACCAAATGCAACTTCAGGATTTTATGACTGGGATGGTATAAAGCACATTCTACAGCCTGACAATTATCAATTTTTTGAGTTTTACATCTTGGCATGGCTGAGTCCTTCCCTCCCATCTCATATTGTGTGGTGGTTATAGTGTTCCCTTTCCTTTGGCATTTTGACTTTCTGCACACCCACTAACCTGTCACTGTTTCCTAATAAAAGATAAGGACTGGCAGTTTCCCTTCTCTAAGTAATTATAATAAAAAAAACAGCACCCCCAGGACCCAGGAGATTTGGATCAAGAACGTTTATCAGCAGCTTAACAATGGAAGAGAAATGGAAGAGAGGCTGATCTGGAATCCATCGGAAAATCACGTTGTCAGATGTCAGTCTTGGCAAAACTGGAAATTGGTCCTGAAAAACAGGTGGTCTCCATTCTTTCGTAAGCCCAGAAAGACAGAATAATAACAACTTGTTCCCTGCACAATTATACCTCTCTTTGCCCAGGAATAGCTGTTCTGCTTTTAGATATAATCTCTGCTATGCTGCTATCAAACAAATTTAGATTTCTCAAGGGTGGGGACATTATACAACTGAAAATGGGTATTGTTAGCCCATAACTGTGAGATTACATCTGTATGCCCTCTGTTTCCTTCCCACCTAACCCCTGTTTAGCAAGAAATCTTCCAGAAGGCCCTGAGAATTTGAGGAGATTGAATGTTGAAAATACGGTATTGGGCAACTAGCTGGACTTTAAAGAAGCAGCAAATTAGGAGCCCTTGGCTTGTGAAATAAATGCAACAAGAATCAATTTGGTCTAATGCAGGGGTTCTCAACCTTGGCAACTTTAAGACTTGTGGACTTCAACTCCCAGAATTCCTCAGCCAGCTTTGCTGGCTGAGGAATTCTGGGAGTTGAAGTCCACAAGTCTTAAAGTTGCCAAGGTTGAGAACCCCTGGTCTAGTGGTTAGGGTACCAGGCTAAAAAGCTGGAGACTGTGAGTTCTAGGCATGCAAACTGGCTGGCTGACTTTGGGCCAATCACCAGGAGATGGTAAGTTCTAGTCCTGCCGTAGGTATGAAATCTGGCTAGATGACTTTGGGCCAATCACCAGGAAACAGTGAATTCTAGTCCCATCTTAGGCATGAAAGCCAGCTGAGTGCTTTTGGACCAATCACCAGGAGATGGTGAATTCTAGTCTTGCCTTAGGCATGAAAACTTGGACCAGTCACTCTCTCTTAACCCAATTTACCCCACTGGATTGTTGTTGTGGGGAAAACAGAAGAGGAAGGTGTGTTGAATATGTTTGACACCCTGCGTTATTTGTAAAAATAATAAAAGGCAGGCTATAAATAAATTAATCAACTTCAGAATGTTATGGCCTTCAGAGCTGCCCTCCTGATTTATGGGCCTAGAATGTCTTCATCTCCAGAGGCTTGCTAATCTAGGTATCTTCAACATACTTTGACCGGTATGTCGTGGCTGCCAGGATTACAGAAATAATTGTCCAGGAACAATCAAGAGTGTTTAGCAAAATGCGCAACCGAAAAAGCCATAGATCTACCGCACTTGTGGTAGCCGTTTTCCCACCCCCTCCAAGCTGAGCTTAGTCATTGTTTGGGGCTTGCCAGGTGCTCACAAGCCCTTTGCCACTGCAATCCCAGGCAGGCAGCCAACATGGGAGGTTTATCACCTCCCCCATGCAGGCTCCCGCCTTGCCCGAGGGATAGGATACCACACACGACTGAGGCATCACGTTCTGCTCGGTGGGTCACAAATTAATCTGCACGAAAGATCCATGACTATGTGCCACAAGATTGTTTAATACGACTGCAATTCAGAAGGGAAGAAGCATGGAATGATGTTTAACTAATGAGACACACACACAGCCTGGCCGCACAGACAGATCGCTCACCCTGCGCTATTTGTCTGTCTTCTGCACCAGACTATTTTCCCATCTATTATACTAGACCAGTGGTGGCGAACCTATGGCACGGGTGCCAGAGACCGCACTCGGAGCCCTCTCTGTGGGCACATGTGCTGTTGCCCCAGCCTTGCCTCCCCCTGCAACCCCCTCACCAGCAGCCCCCCTGGAGGAGAGTCGCCCCCGAGCGTGGCCCACGCGGAGCAGTGCAGCCAAGGACATGGCAGCCAGGCAGCGTAGACAAGACTCTGCCCTCACGCCCCATTGTGCACAGTTGATACTGCAGGGCGCGGGGAGAGGGCGTGGCTGCCATGGCGCTGCTGGGCTGCCTGGGCAATCTGCGGTGGGCCCTGGAGGCGGTGAGTGGCCCTGCGGGCAGGCGGGGCGGGGGCGGGGCAGGGGGTGGAATGGGAGCAGGGGCGGGGCCAGTTTTTGGGCACTTGATCTCTAAAAGGTTCGCCATCACTGTACTAGACTATCCGATCATTTCTTAAGCTACTACTTCACTAACTGCATCGATTTCCAGCTGGTTTCTGAGCCCAGTTCAGAACTCTCAGATTAAGTCTAAAAAACCCTGGAGGGCTTGAGGCCAGATGAGCTGAAGGACTCCTTTCTTTTGAAATCCAAATTAAAGCATCTTCAACAGGCAGCTATTGATCAGGGTCCCAGAATTCCCCAGCCAGCCATATTGAAGTTCACAGGTTTTAAAGTTGTCAAGTTTGGGCAGCCCTGCTATATATAGATCCTTTGCTTGAATTAGTGCAAAGATATACAGTAGTGGCCAAAACTGTGGAAACCTTTTGGGAAAAGTGTATTTTTGAGGTTTGATGGCTAATAAAACCACTTTTTTTGAGGAGTAGTACCATAAGATTATATTATAATAATAATAATAATAATAATAATAATAATAATAATAATAATATCATTTGCCTGTAAGCAAAAACTGGTGGGATCATAAAATAGAGAAAGTCATAGAAAATGATAAAGTTAAACTGCTCTGGGACTTCAGAATTCAAACAGACAAGCAGCTGCAACATAACACCCCAGACTTAACAATTGTCGACAAGAAAGACAAAAAAGTCTGGATAGTGGACGTGGCAGTGCCTGGAGACAGCAGAATAGATGAGAAAGAACTGGAGAAGATAACAAAATACAAAGACCTACAAATAGCAATAGAAAGACTGTGGCAAATGTAAGCAAGGGTAGTACCAATAGTCATAGGCTCCTTGGGTGCAATCCCAAAACAACTGGAGCACCACTTGAACACCATTGGCATTGACAAATTTGCCATTAGTCAATTGCAAAAGGCGGCCTTACTAGGAACTGCTTCCATCCTGTGACGATACCTGTAATACTATCAAACATCAACATCTGCCTATCCCAGGTCCTGGGTAAGGACTCGATAGGTAGACAAAATGCCAAATTTATAGCCAAATAACCAGAAAAAGGAAGCACAACTTGCTTAGGTTGATATCAGGTAGCTTTCCTTCACTGATTGCAGCCAATGAGCACGAGTGTTTAGAGAGCCAATCAGGTGTCATCTTGTTTTGGCCATGAGCCAATCAGATCACGGTAGGATTCAGTGATTGATGTCATGTTTTGAAGCTGAGAGGAGGACATTTGTCAGTGTGTTATGGGATCGCTATCAAGTTGGTTGGGGTTTTTTTGTGTTCTTTCATTTAGTGAGCTTGTAAAACGTAACAAAATTAAAGTAATGGTGCAAAGAGTTGACTGGTTGCCCAGAAAGCGATGTAAAAGAGTATTATTAAGTGAACAAGGCTACAGTTATAAAGAAATTAGAAGAAAAATGGGTGGAAACTTAACCAAAGGTGGCATTTCTACTGTACACTTTTCCCAAAAGGTTTCCACAATTTTGGTCACTACTGTGAGGTTCTCTTCCAATTTTAAAGAGTTCTCCTTCAATCTGAGGAAAAAGTGAGCATATACTGCAGTGGTTCTCAACCTTTCTAATGCCGTGACCCCATAATACAGTTCCCCATGTTGTGGTGACCCCCAACCACTTATACATCACCGGGTGCCAGGGCCGTGGCCAAAGAAAAGGGGGAAAAATGGCGGACAGCCTTGTTTGGCAACCCCCGTGAAATGGTCGTTCGACCCCAAATGGGGTCCCGACCCACAGGTTGAGAACCACTGATATACTGTATGTATGTATTCACTGGATTTATATGACCATCCAACTCCCAAATGCAACACTAGGCAGGGTACAACAATAAAAGATAAAATGAAATGCAACAAAACTCCACATAAAGGACAACAAGCAAGAACAGTTGAGGCACACTAAGATATATATTCCATTTCATGGAATGAGCTTGTAGGCTCCCTATCTCATGGATCCCAAGGTTACTGTCCTTTCCAGGAACAAAACCAATGGGCTGAGGCCTGTCTAAAACAAGGGTTCTCCAAGCATCCTTGCGAGATATGTTGGCCTTTCAATTTCAGCACTTCTACCCAATCTATCCAAAGGTACTCTAGGAGTTGAAGACATCTGAAAAAACTCTGCTCTAAAATGTTGGCAGAGCACCATGAATGATGCTGAAGGAGATGGGGAAACACAGACTTACTGCTTGTCATCTTTGAACCACTGAAAGTCCGCAGCGGGCACTGCCATGGCCTCACAGCGCAAGAGGGCTGTCTTTCCTATCAAGGGACGGGAATCCTTTACATCTGTGATGATTGGAGGATCTGGGAAAAGACAACAATGGATGGAGAAACGGATTGGAGGTCAACTGTGACAACCTCCCCCTGTAGGCATCTCCTGCAACCCTTCAAGTACAGGCAGAGAGACCTTCAAGGTGGACTCTAAAAAAAAAAAAGCTCTGAAAGGGCCAGAGAAGGATCCCTCACCCCCCCCCAAATTTGGATTCAGTGATCTTTCTAACTTAAAAAATAACTTCTCCCACAATCTCCTGTAGTTCAGTTCATTCCAAGGAAGAAAGAAGAAAACTAAATCCGTCCTTCTTCTCACACTGCCAAATCACTAAAAAAAAAAAAAAAAAATACCGGATGGGATGGTGTAGTAGTTTAAGATGCTGGCCTAGAAACCAGGAGACTGAGGATTCTGCTTCCACCTTAGACAATGAAAGCTGGCTGGGTGAATAGAATAGGGCAGTGTTTCCCAAACTTGACCATTTTAAGGCATGAGGACTTCAACTCCCAGAATTAAAATTCAACTCTCAGAATTAAATATCCCATGCCTTAAAATTGTCAAGTTTGGGAAACACTGGAATAGGGAGTAGGGAGTAGGGAATAAGAATAGAATAGAATAGAATAGAATTAGATAGATAGAATAGAATAGAATAGAATAGAATAGAATAGAATAGAATAGAATAAGGAATAAGGAATAGATAATAGGGAATAGGGAATAGGGAATAGGGAATTAGAATAGAATAGAATAGAATAGAATAGAATAGAATAGAATAGAATAGAATAGAATAGGGAATAAGGAATAGATAATAGGGAATAGCGAATTAGAATAGAATAGAATAGAATAGAATAGAATAGAATAGAATAGAATAGAATAGAATAGAATAAGGAATAGATAATAGGGAATAGGGAATTAGAATAGAATAGAATAGAATAGAATAAGGAATAAGGAATAGATAATAGGGAATAGGGAATAGGGAATAGGGAATTAGAATAGAATAGAATAGAATAGAATAGAATAGAATAGAATAGGGAATAAGGAATAGATAATAGGGAATAGCGAATTAGATTAGAATAGAATAGAATAGAATAGAATAGAATAGAATAGAATTAGATAGATAATGAATAGAATAGAATAGAATAGAATAAGGAATAAGGAATAGATAATAGGGAATAGGGAATTAGAATAGAATAGAATAGAATAGAATAGAATAGAATAGAATAGAATAGAATAGAATAAGGAATAGATAATAGGGAATAGGGAATAGGGAATTAGAATAGAATAGAATAGAATAGAATAGAATAGAATAGAATAGAATAGAATAGAATAAGGAATAAGGAATAGATAATAGGGAATAGGGAATAGGGAATTAGAATAGAATAGAATAGAATAGAATAGAATAGAATAGGAAATAAGGAATAGATAATAGGGAATAGGGAATTAGAATAGAATAGAATAGAATAGAATAGAAAAAGTATAGAATAAATGTAACTAAGGTTAACTAATCAACAAATACAGATAGTGAAAAGGTAGCTGCCAGGTTTGGTGAGACCATGAAGTGTGAACACAACACAAGCCAAAGGCTGATCTTTAATCCTAGATCCCCAACCAATCATCAGTTTTTCTATTGAAACTATCCTACTCAGGCCCAGGAATTTCAGATGCAAATGAAAATAGAAACAGGCGAAGACGCAAAGAAAGAAAGGAAATGAAAAGTCGCCTCACAATTGACTGTGATAAGAACGTGTTTGCTGTCTGGTGTCAAAACACCGTTTGCCGTGACGCACTCGTATTCCCCAGCTTGTTCTCGGTTGATCTCTGATATTTCCAGGTATTCTCCTTCACTGGTGAATCCATCTGTGGGGAGGGAGCAGGAGGGAGGCAGGAACGGAGTCAGGCCCAGTCAGGCAGGGAGACAGACACAAACAGACTTACACACAAGAAAACACATATAACACAACACGGTTATCGAGGCCCCCTCCTGCAGGGCTGCCCTATGTAGGGCCATAAAGGGCAGACAGAGGAGGGGGAGATGCCCAAAATAAGCATTCTCACAAACAACCCCCTAAGTCATTGTAGCTCAAAGAATGCACGGGTTTGCAAAGAACGTCTTTGAAAAAAATGAAGGAGGAAAAAACTTAGGTGCCAGGCCAAGATTGTTGTTGTTAATTGCGAAGTCGTGTCCAACCCATTGCGACCCCATGGACAATGTTCCTCCAGGTCTTCCTGTCCTCTACCATCTTCTGGAGTCCATTTAAGTTCTCACCTACTGCTTCAGTGACTCCATCCAGCCATCTCATTCTCTGTCGTCCCATTCTTCTATTGCCCTCAATCTTTCCCAGCATCAGGCTCTTCTCCAGTGAGTCCTTCCTTCTCATTAGGTGGCCAAAGTATTTGAGTTTCAATTTCAGGATCTGGCCTTCTAAAGAGCAGTCGGGGTTGATCTCTTCTAGGACTGACCGGTTTGATCGCCTTGCAGTCCAGGGGACTCGCAGGAGTCTTCTCAAGCACCATAGTTCAAAGGCCTCCATTCTTTGGCACTCAGCCTTTCTTATGGTCCAACTTTCACAGCCATACATTGCAACTGGGAAGGCCTGGATTATACACACTTTTGTTGGCAGGGTGATGTCTCTGCTTTTTTAGTATGCTGTCTAGCCAGGCCAAGATAGTCAGAGTATAAAAAGCAAATTCACAGCTAGTGGAGAGTCACCATAACTGTCAGGAAATTGGCATATTCTGCAGGGGATGGAGAGAGAGAGGGTAAAGCTACTGCCTGACTAGTTTTAAGATTAAGGGTAAAGATTTCCTTGTCAGATGTGTCTGACTTTAGTTCCATGGTCATGTGACCAGCATGGCTATATGCCCGGGGTCTTCAAACGTGGCCCTTTTATGACTTGTGGACTTCAACGCCCAGAATTCCTCAGCCTGGCTGAGGAATTCTGGGAGTTGAAGTCCACAAGTCATAAAAGGGCCAAGCTTGAAGACTCCTGCTATATGCCAAAGGTGTGTGGAACGCTGTTACTTTCCCAGCGAAGTGGTACCTATATATCTATTCCAGTGTTTCTCAACCTTGACAATTTTAAGGCATGTGGACTTCAATTCCCAGAATTCCACAGCCAGCATTGCTGGCTGTGGAATTCTGGGAGTTGAAGTCCACATGCCTTAAAATTGTCAAGGTTGAGAAACACTGATCTATTCACATTTGCATGCTAGGCGGGCAGGAGCGGGAGCAGGAAACAGGAGGTGACCCTGTTGTGTGGAGCTCGGGTCTCAAACCCGGACTTTCAGCTCTCCAAGCTCAGGGTCTTTAACCGCTGAGCCATTCCCCCCCCCCCAGTTTTCAGATTACCTATAGATTAAATTGTTGGCGTATGCAAAACCCTCGAATAGTCAGCTGCCTCTAACACAATGCCCTGTTAGGAAAAGAAGCTCTCCCAATACGGCTCCATCTTCTGGTGAGTCAGAAATGCAGCGTTCCTATTAGAATGTCATCACTCGCTGCCTTGCCTTGTTCGCTTCCATTCACAACATTTCACGGAAAATGTCAAAACTCCAATTCAAATCTTCAGCAGCGGCGCTTTGCTGCAGCTGTGCTCCTTTATGAATGAAGCAAAATTCCACTCTATGAAAAGGCAGGAAAGAGATGGGCCAACGGATAAATAAAATAGCATTGTCTCCTGCTCATTATGGGGTGCAGGAGGAGGGTTGATATATGTGACATGTGAAATCTCACTCCCCGACAATATTGTCTGCGCAGCCCAACTCACTACTTCCCCCCCAGGATCTGGGATTTCATACATAATGCCCCCAGCTTTTCAAATTGATTTTTGCGACCTTAAAAGGGGGATTTTCATTTATTTATTTAAATGGGGAAATAAAGGGTGAGATCAAGGCAAACAGATTTTTTTTAAAAAAAAATGCAGATTTCTGCAACCAGGACTAAATTCCACTTGCTTAAAAGATGCTTTGGGATCCAGTGAACAACATCCCTGTGCAGACACCCAAGCTGTGTCTAGACATGCTCGATCTGGATAGTTTAAAATGAGCAGCTGATGTCATACAAACGCTAAACTTGATTTATTTTGATCTTGGTTCGATATTGGGGGTTAGTTGTCATATGAACGCAGTCCATTTAATCCAGTGTTTCTCAACCTTTTTAATGCCGCGATCCCAACCGGTCGTAAGTCGAGGACTACTCAACTGGTGCAGCACCGTTTGCAGAATGGGACTTTTGGTGGGCTCAGCAGGGCAGAGACAGCCTGGACAATTCCTATTGGCTTTTGAAAGCCAATAGAATTAGACTCTATTCAAGAGAGTCTATTCTATTGGCTTTCAAAAGCCAATAGAATAAAAGGGAGTAGCACAGCTAAGGAAAAGGGGAAAAAAAATGGCGGACTGCGTTGTTTGGCGACCCCAGTGAAATGGTCGTTCGACCCCAAATGGGGTCCCGACCCACAGGTTGAGAACCACTGATTTAATCAGTGCATAACTCAGGATAACTTGCAAATCCTGAACATAGGTTCATTTACATTTAACCAAGTTTGGCATGTTGACCCAATCCATTCTCATTTATGCTGGTAATTAGTGGCCTGCAATGGAGAGCCAGCACCTCCTCCAGTTTTTTTTCTCACCTTTCAGCTGTCGCCAAATTACCGTCGGTTCCGGTTTCCCCACTGCCAGGCACAACAAATTCACATTGCTTCCTTCGTTCACCGTCACAGCTGAGGAAATGTTCACGATCCGAGCTGGAACTGTGGAGTTTAAAACAGAGAGTGGGCATAATGGCATGGGAGGCTGACCTTGGGAGACAGAAAGAAGAGCTGATATGGGACAACCGTCATGAAAAAGATGCCTACAAAAAGAGGGTGAGCTGGGGGTTCAAAAGAAGAGAACAAGTAAAGAGGTCCCGGAGATCACTAGAGACCCAATTGGAACAAAGGCTGAGAAGCTAGGAGACCGGGAGTTCTAGTCCTGCTTTAGGCACAAATCCAGCTGAGAGATTTTGAAGCAGTGTTTCTCTCTCTTTCTCTCAGTCCTGGAAGAAGAAGGCAAGGCCAAACCACATCTGAAAATGCTACCAAGACAACTGCAGGAACCTCTAAACCAGGGGTGTCAAACTCAATTTCACTGAGGGCCGCATCAGCACTGCGGTTGCCCTTGGGGGGCTGGGTGGGTGTGACCAGAGTGGGTGCAGCCTACTGGGCGGGTGTGGAGGGAGTGGGTGTGGCCTACTGGGTGGGCATGGCCAGCTCTACATTGTTTGCATCCAGGGTGCCTGCCTGGGCAGATCTGAGGGTCTCTGGCAGAAGGGGGTGGGACCGGGGCAAGCTCCAAGGCATGGTGCATTTCTTCATTCCTCACAAAGGGTGACACCTCCCAGCATGCACCCAGGGGGCAGGGCTGACGCAGCAGGGGCTGGTTCCTCGTTGTTTCCAGACGGCCTTGTGGAGCTAACACTGAATGCCTTTCAGCATAGATGGCCACCACAAAATTGTACATTGGCTCCCGGCCAGCCTGGGCCAGGGCCAAGGCAGCGGGGGCCGTTCCCTCACTGTTTCCAGGATGGCTTCGCGGGCCACATGAAGCCACTTTGCGGGCCGCATCCGGCCCCCGGGCCTTGTGTTTGACATGTCTGCTCTAAACCATAACTATAATTAGATTTTTCTGGGGAGGAGCAGCCTGTTCAGTAGTGCTGTCCCCAACACAAACACATACATACAGATTTAACACCCTAAGCTGCACCCAAGTGGGCTTAGAGAGAAGAAAGAAGGTTGGCTTTTAAAAATCAACTGGAGGTTGAATTCAACTGGAGTTATATGTATTCTTTCTATAGTTCCACTTTTGTTTGTCCTGCAACTAGACACGATTGCCACTTGCTCCAGAAATGGGGAATCGCCAGTTGAACCTGAATGAAAGGAGATTTTACTGTTGGAGATTTAAAGATTTGCACTTGGTTGATGAAGGGAAGTCCAAAAATCTCCCTCAGCCAACTCTTTCGCCATCTAGTGGCCAACATCCACCACTGCAGATAGAAACCCCCAAGAGAAAACATAAAAGATTCTGGAGATGTGAGTCCGACTGTATTCCTCACATTTCACAAATCACTACCCCACCTTGTTTTTGGACTGCCTCCTCAGCAAATCTCAGCATGGGAGGCTTCTAGCTCCCTTCCCTGTTGCAGCGGAAGAAAACCCCCCCCCCATGAAAAAACATACATTCTCCCCCTCCCAGACTTGGCTTAACGTTCCCCATTGTTTGCATGATAAACTGGGGTGGAGTTGGCAATGGCAGAGCTATGGGAGAACATCTGTTTCCTTAATCTGCAGGTTACTCATCCCAGAACTGAGCCCAATCAGCTCGTATTGTAAGCAGCTTCCCGGCTCCAGCAACTATGAGAAAACAGAACGTGTGGAGCTATAATTATGGGGTGCATAACACCGCAGTTGTGGCTTTTGCCAATACGGCAGAAATGCCGGAGGCGCCTGGAAATTGGGGAAGAAAGTGAAAAAGAAGAAAGAGAGAGAGAGAAGAAATAATTTTTAGCTGGTTTTGACAGCTGGGAAGAGATTCTGTCTCTCTGAGGCCAAACTACACACCCCCTTCTTTTGGGAACAGATTTATAGATAGAGATGAGCTATTTCTACACAGACCCTTTGACTGGATTCACACAACACCTTTTACTAGCCTAGATTGGAACCGGAACATTTGAATTGGCCAGTCAGATGAGCTATGCCTCAGAGTTAAGCCATCATAGAGTTTACGGGAGGAGTTTGACATGCTAGGCACTGGTTTTGTTGATCTATATGAGATGTGTGAGTCACACCTGAGGACAGGGGTCTTCAAAGTTGGAAACTTTAAGATTTGTGGAACTTCCACTCCCAGAATTCCCAGTTAGATATGAGAGACAATGTAATTTGGAATCTTCTCTCTGCCGTCGATAGTAAAATTCCATGAAATGAAACAGGACATTTACACCATAAAAGTCTTATCTGGACACAACATTTCCAAGTTTTGGAGTCAGGGCACTTCCACATTACACTGTTTCCATTCCCCAATCTCTCAAAAAGCAGCTTGAAGCAAATCCCTCATCCTCTTTGCCCTCCCCAGCTTTGAAATCCTGAGAAGTTATCTGAGTTAGTCAGTGTTCCTCTGGCTGATGCCTAAGAGCTTGCCAAGAATGTCCTCTCACAAGCTCCTGCTCCTCTCAAAATACCAAAAATGGCCTCAGCATTACTCTAGCATAGGGGTCTTCAAACTAGGCCCTTTTATGACTTGTGGACTTCAACTCCCAGAATTCCTCAGCCAGGCATGCTGGCTCAGGAATTCTGGGAGTTGAAGTCCACAAGTCATGAAGGGGCCATAGTTCCCCCATGCTGGCTCAGGAATTCTGGGAGTTGAAGTCCCCGAGTCATGAAGGGGCCATAGTTCCCCCCATTCTGGGTGAGGAATTCTGGGAGTTGAAGTCCACAAGTCATGAAGGGACCATAGTTCCCCCCATTCTGGCTGAGAAATTCTGGGAGTTGAAGTCCACAAGCCATAAAAGGGCCAAGTTTGAAGACCCCTGCTCTAGCAAAAAGAGCAGGGGTCCTTCCCATATATGCACAGGAAATATCTAAGAGATGGCTATGAGAACTATCACAACTCCCTTGCTGCATGAAGAAGACCTTATAAAAACGTTGCTAGGAAACATTCAAAAACAAGACTGTCCACCCACTGCAATTTGAGGGATAGCATCGCTGGACAGAAATTAACTAGTTCAGCTTCTCAACATGGCGAGACCAGAGTGGTCCGATTGGTGCACAATGCCACCTGGAGGTGCTCCATCCCCTCCCTTCCTTTCCCTGCGCCCATACCATGTACGATGAGGTACACCTGTGAGGTGTGAGGTTTGTCCTGGGTCTGGAAAGAACATGTGTAGAGTCCTTCATCGTACACATCCACGTGGCTGATCAGGATGCTGAACTCCGAGGGGCTGTAATGTAGTAGCTGCACCCGCAGGTCAATGGACCACTTGTCATTGCCAGCATACAAGATGTTGGAACGGTTCAGCCAAGCCACACGCGTCACCTGTTGGTCTATGTAGCAGCTGCAGAGAAGGGGAGGCAGAAGGAAGAAACGTGAATGACTAGGGCAGTGGTAGCGAACCTATGGCACGGGTGCCAGAGGCGGCACTCACAGACCTCTCTGTGGGCTCGCGCGCCGTCGCCCCAGTCCTAGGCCTTCAGCTGGCTTTTATAAAACCTTTTCGCTTTAGGCCTCCACCGCCGTGTGCAAAAAAAAAAAAAGTTCAATCAATTTCAACTTCTCGCGGGAAAAAAAAGATCTTGCAAAGTTGGAATTGATTGATTGAACTTTTTAGTCCCACCCAGTCTGCTGTTATCACCGCAGCCACGCCCACCCAATGGCCCATGCCTGCCCAATGGGCCACGCCTGCCCAATGGGCCACACCCACACAATGGGCCACACCTACCCGGCATCCGAGGATGCATAAGTGGGTTTTGGGTTGCAGTTTGGGCACTCGGTCTCTAAAAGGTTCGCCATCACTGGACTAGGGAGATTCTCAACCATCCAGGTCAAGATGGATGTCCCAACGATGCTTTTTTTAAAAGGCAACTGGACTTTCTTGTTTGTTTTTTTCCTTTGAAAACATTTTGCTTCTCATTCAAGAAGTTTTTTCTGAGTTAGAATTGAAGAAGCTTCTTGGATGAGATGTGAAACATTTTCCAAGGGAAAAAAACCAAGAAACTCCAGTTCTTTTTTTTTTGGGAGGGGGGAACTACACCTTTGGGGCAAGCAAGGGTGAGAAACAGAAAATCCAGGGGAAGAGTAAAGTAAAGAGATTGGCTTTCCAATTCAAATGCTTTGAATTATGGTTTCTTGAAGGATCTACCATGAAACAATTATGTAAGCCCTAACTGAATCAGCCACAGTTATTTTCATTTCTGCAACACACTAAGAGGGGAGCCCCAAATTATACAGTCGTATCATGGATCAGAAATTAAAAGACGCTTGCTCCTGGGGAGAAAAGCTATGGCAAATCTAGACAGCATACTAAAAAGCAGAGACATCACCCTGCCAACAAAAGTACGCATAGTCAAGGCCACGGTTTTCCCAGTTGCAATGTATGGCTGCGAAAGTTGGACCATAAGAAAGGCTGAGCGCCAAAGAATGGAGGCCTTTGAACTATGGTGATAGAGAAGACTCCTGCGAGTCCCCTGGACTGCAAGGCGATCAATCTGGTCAGTCCTAGAGGAGATCAACCCCGACTGCTCTTTAGAAGGCCAGATCCTGAAGCTGAAACTTAAGTACTTTGGCCACCTAATGAGAAGAAAAGACTCACTGGAGAAGAGCCTAATGCTGGGAAAGATGGAGGGCAATAGAAGAAGGGGACGACAGAGAATGAGGTGGCTGGATGGAGTCACTGAAGCAGTAGGCGTGAGTTTAAATGGACTCCAGAAGATGGTAGAGGACAGGAAGGCCTGGAGGAACGTTGTCCATGGGATCGCGATGGGTCAGACATGACTTTGCAACTAACAACAACAACATGGATCAGTATGTTGTAGATCATAGCAGGGCAAGATTTTCTGAATTACACATGACTCCACTCACAATCAGTTGTAAAAATTAGCCCATTTTTATCGCTGAGAGAGAGATGTATCTCTCTCTCCCTTTAGGAAAGACAGGAAGGCAGGAAGAGGAGAGGAAAGGATATAATAACTCCAGGTTCTTCTCAGGGCAAGGGAAGGCCTTTGGCTACCTCCACCAAGCTCTTATAGCATCCGTTCTCTAATTTGATTAGTGAATTTTTAAAACACAAGATTAAAAAAACTAATGCCAACTAATATAAAAGGAGAAAAAGAAACGACAAACAAAGTCAATGAAGGAAAAGGTCAAAGGGCAAGAGAAGAAAAAGGGAAAAGAAAGGGAAAAAAAAGAGACAGAGGAGTAACTCCCGACCTCTACAGTAGTTTTGTGAACCTGCTTTCTGCAAGGACTCCTTCAAAGACACCTCTTTCAACTGCTTCCTCCCACCGCCTGTACCTGACCCCCCCAACCACCTTGTGGCCTGGTTTTTCACCAGCCAGCAAGGTCCCTAATTTCTACAGACACGCTGTCACTGCCCTGGTGCTCCGAGATGGAAGATTTAATTATTTAAATGTTTTCCTCTTGCTTGAAGGCAAAGGGCACTAAGTCATCCGATTTCATGGCCCCCTGACAGCTGTCAGACACAAGATTGGACAAACACCCGTAAAGATAATGGGAAAAGAGCTCCAAGGAGAAAAGGCTTTGGATTCACCCCTTCCAATCAGGGCTGGCCCCAAATACGACCGGAGTGCTGTTGCTGCTCTCTGGTGACCCATTGCAGCTCTAAAGCCAAGCAGCCAGCCAGAAGAAGGCCTTGAAGAAAAGGGGTTAAGAGCCCTAAGACCTGAGAGGTTAAACCTATCCATTTATTGAAGTCATGTGGTTCTTTCTTCTTTCTTGTCTTTAAAGAAAAGTTTTTTTTTTTCTCAAGGGAGGCCCTTGCTTTAATATCTGGCCACTGTCAAGAGCCAGGGAAATCAGAAGATCCAGGTAGATCTGATGAATCTTTGAGTTTAATGTATGCTAAAGCTCTCTACAAGAATCTGAACTACTAACGATCAAAGCAAGTTGGCAGCAGATAAGAGCCAAGGGAATTCAAGGCAGGCTGGACTTAGATCTCTTGTGGGTGCAAAGGAATTCAAGGCTGATTCCCTCTTTGATCCCTCCCTCTGGCTCAGCCCAGTCATCTCCTACAGCAGTGGTTCTCAACCTGTGGGTCGGGACCCCACTTGGGGTCGAACGACCATTTCACAGGGGTCGCCAAACAACACAGTCCGCCATTTTCCCCCCTTTTTCCTTAGCTGTGCTACTCCCTTTTATTCTATTGGCTTTTGAAAGCCAATAGAATAGACTCTCTTGAATAGAGTCTAATTCTATTGGCTTTCAAAAGCCAATAGGAATTGTCCAGCTGTCTCTGCCCTGCTGAGCCCGCCAAAAGTCCCATTCTGCAAACGGTGCTGCACCAGTTGAGTAGTCCTCAACTTACGACCGGTTGGGGGTCGCGGCATTAAAAAGGTTGAGAACCACTATCCTACAGTCATCCTTAAATACCACTAATATGTGCTTGTAAACAGCTGCAAAGAACAGGCCTTTTCAGTTGTGGGGTGCTCATTAGTGGAATGCCCACCCCAAGAAGGCCTGCCCAGCACTCATAGTTTTGGTCCAAAGCCAAGATGTTCCTCTTCTTCCAGGTCTTTGTGCAACTTTCAGCTCATTTTGAATCTGAATTTCTATTGAGTCCCAGAATAGTGGATTGGGTGTCCACAATGTCTTTCTCATTCCTAGAAATTTGATCAGCATTCTCTTCGCCCCCTTTATCCAAGTCACGGATGAAAATGTTGAAGATGACTGGTCCTAGAAATGCACCTCTTGAGATGCCTTCGATACCTCCAACTGATTCCTCCCACACGTGATGAGTAACCACCGAGGAGCATGTATGAGTTTTAGCGAGTTATAGCTCTACATAATTGTCATGCCATTCAAACCCCACTTAATTATCTTGCTAAGAATGTCATGGGGTACTTTGTCAAATGCTTTATTGAAGTCATGATATATTACGTTCACGACAACCCCACTATCTACTCAGGGAGATACTCAATCAAAAAAAAAATGAAAGACAATTAATCCGTCAAGACTTGTTCTTGACAAATCCATGCTGACTTCTGAAAATTGCCACATTGTTTTCACAGTGCTGATAGATAAATTGCGCTATGATCAGCTCTAGAACTCTCTCAGGTATTAACGTCAAGGTAGTTGACAGGTAGGTCCACAGACATTCCCCTCCTCTAAGGACCTGGTCTTACCCTTTCACAAAGATTTCTCTAACCTAGTGGATACAGCAGGGCTTTTCAACCTCAACAACTTTAAGCTGCGTGGACTTCAACTCCCAGAATTCTTCACGCTAGCTGGGGAATTCTAGGAGTTGAAGTCCACACAGCTTAAAGTTGCTGGGGTTGAGGAACATTGGGATAGAACAGAGGTAGGCAACCTCGGCTCTTTTATGACTCATGGACTTCATCTCCCAGAATTCCTGAATCAGCATAGCTGACTCAGGAATTCTGGGAGTTGAAGTCCATGAGTCATAAAAGAGCTGAGGTTGCCTACCTCTGGGATAGATTAAGGTTGGCCAGTCCCATAGCAAATTCATTTACATGTCTTCTAAAATAACAAGAAAGAGGGCTGTGAGGCAGCCATAATTTCTTCTGGCTCAACTCGTCTGCCCAACCAACCCTGGCACACCATTTATCTTCTAGCTCCTGACACAGGGCAAAGGGTGGAAGCTTAGTTGCCATAGCAGTCCCCATAGGAGAGCTGATGGGTTGAAAGGGGGGAACTGAGTCAGAGGCTGTGACTGCCTCATCATTCATTTTATTCCAGTGCCTTTAAAGTCATATGCATTAATCTAGAGCAGTGCTTCCTAACCTTAGACATATTAAGATGTGTGGACTTCAATTCTGCTAGCTGTGGTATTCTGGAAGTTGAAGTCCACACACCTTAACGTGGCTAAGGTTGCAAAACATGGATCTAGAGCAGTGGTTCTCAACCTTTTTAATGCCACGACACCCAACCAATCGTAAGTCGAGGACTACTCAACCGGTGCAGCACCGTTTGCAGAATGGGACTTTTGGCGGGCTCAGCAAGGCAGAGACAGCCTGGACAATTCCTATTGGCTTTTGAAAGCCAATAGAATTAGACTCTATTCAAGAGAGTCTATTCTACTGGCTTTCAAAAGCCAATAGAATAAAAGGGAGGAGCACAGCTAAGGAAAAGGGGGAAAAAATGGTGGACTGCGTTGTTTGGCGACCCCCGTGAAATGGTCGTTCGACCCCAAATGGGGTCCCGACCCACAGGTGGAGAACCGCTGATCTAGAGTCAGGCGGACAAAGAGGCAACAAGCTATCATAGAAATTAGGGATATCCAGTTACCTTAACTGGCAGCTACTTTGGCACTGACAAAAGGCAACTTGGCTTCTTCTCCTAGTACACAACTAAGGACCTTGA